GTGAGGTTGTACAATATTTGTCCTTTTATTACTGACTTATTTCACTCAGCATAATGTCTTCAAGCTCCATCCAGGTTGTAGCATGTATCAAGACTTCATTTCTTACACTGGCTGAAAAGTATTGTATTGTATGTATGTACCACATTTGTTTATCCATTCGTCTGTTGATGGACATTTAAGTTGTTTCCAGCTTTTGTCTATTTTGAATAATGCTGCAGTGAAAATTGGTGTACCGGTCTCTGTATGAGTCTCTGCTTTCAAGTCTTTTGGGTATATACCTAGGAGTGGAATTTTCTGGGTCATACGGTGGTTCTATTCTCCATACTTTCTGAAAGCTTTCGTGTCTTCCTTTCTCTCTCTTCTGAGCGTGTTGTATGCAGTAATCCAGATTCAAAATTCTGTCACTTCATCATTTTTTTATAAAGTATTCAATCATCTCCATAATCTTAATGATTATTTGGGCACCAAGGGGAAATGTCACATCTTTCTACCAACCACGGCATGGCTTTCTACCAATTTCTCGGCTCCTCCCTTAGTTCCCCAACTCCTGGAACAACAAATTCTTTCCCTTTACTTCTATAGAATATTTCTACCTTCTTTAAGTTTACTTGGAGTTTCACCACTTACACCAAGAAGGTTGGCTAAATAATTCCTTCCAAACACAGAATTCTTCCTAAGGAATTACAGTATACTGTGAAAAACAAAACAAAACAAAAAACTCATTATGTTTGGAAGGGCATTTCTCTCCATGCCCAATCTTTATCTCCTCAAAATTTGGGTCAAGACTAATATTTTTTATGTTTTGAGATTGGTTGGACTAGAGATGATCAAAAGACAATGGAAATGGAACCTTTCTACCTCTTTACCTTTTGGGATAAAGTGTAAGAAAATAAGGCATAGTCAATTCAAACAACAAAGGATTGAGAAAAACACTTTATCAAGTCTAGTCATTGTATTAATATTACTTGGTTACAGGTAAGTTTATAACTTGGTTATAATTCAAAATACTCTCTCAAAAACACAATGCATTTTTTACATAATTGTTTTAAATCCCAGAAGAGATGGCTTGATCTCCAATTTGGTTGTACTAAGTATTCAAAATCATAAAATGATAATGTGAAAATGGTAGATCTTACATAGGATTGATCTTAGAGTCATCTAGTCAAGTGTGCTCATTTTACAGACGACGAAATTGAGACTGGGAGATGTTAAATCATTTGCTCCAAGGCCATACAGACAGTCTCTGGCAGTGTCAAGGCCTAGACCTGTTACCCCGATTCTCAGACCCATTCTTCTGTTATTCTGTGCTGCTGCTCCTTGGCCACAGACAATAATCTTGCATAGCTCCTACTCTTAACTTTTTTCCTTCAAATGGATATTTTGTATTAAATGAAACTTGTTTGGATGAGTACAATTCATACATGTTTTAAAACAACCAGGATTAGATTAACGTAGGGTTTATTAATGTATAGCTGTGGCTTGCCGTCTAGTCTGCTCCAACTCATGGTGACCTTATGTACAACAGGATGAAATGTTGCCTAGTCCTGTGCCATCTTCACAGTCTTTTCTATGTTTGGGCCAATTGTTGGGGCAATTGTGTCAATCCATCTCATTAAGGATTTCCCTCTCTTTTGCTGACCCTTTACTATACCAAACATGATGTCCTTTTCTAGCGATTGGTCTTTCCTGATGACATGTCTAAAGTAAGCAAGCCAAAATTTCACCATCCTCGCTTCTAAGAAGCATTCTGGTTGTATATATTATCAAAAAATCAAGCTCATTGCTGTGGAGTCAATTTTGACTTACAGCAACCCTATAGGACAGGATAGAACTGTCCATAGTGTTCCCAAGGCTGTAATCTTTAAGGAAGTGGACTGCCACATCTTTCTCCCTGCTGGTGGGTTCGAACTGCCAACCTTTCAGTTAGCAGCCGAGCTCTTAACTATTGCCCCATCAGGGATCCTTTGTATATATTAGTCTGTGGTACATTAATTGATACACAGTGTATAATATATGGGTTAATACTGAAGATCCAGCTTTGCCCAATAGCTTAACAGTACTGAAAATGACGAGAAAGAACGTTTATCTCTGAAAAACCCGAGTGAAGGGACAACTTCTAAAACTTCATCTTAGGTTTAGGATTGTACACACTGGTGTGTTATGCTTGATGTTTAGTCACTTACTTATGTGACCTTGGGCAAATCACTTCTACTCCTCAGCCTGAGTTTCCTTATCTGTCAAATAGGGATAATAGTACTTGCTTTGCAGAGTTTTGTTCTGCTTTAAAAAAAAAGTGTACATATATATATACTGAAATTTCATATATATACATATATATATGAAAGACCCATTCCTGGACCACTCAAAAGGTAATAATTTCTCTCCTCTCTCATTTCAATTTTATTTGAATTATTAACCAAAAATTAGCTCATCTATTTCCTAGATCCCTTTTCATAATAAATCTACTTTCACTTTTTTTCCCTCTAAGGACAGTAGTAATATTTAAATACATGTTGGAAACATAATCAGTAATTTTTTTTTTGAGAAAATACTCATCTGTGATCGAACCGCCACATCGTATTGAAGAATAAGGAAAGGCAGACGAGAAACGACTGTTTTCCAGAAACAGGTAAAGCATGTTTGGTAGATTAATTCTCAATTCCCTCCTCGGAGGAAAAGGACAAAACTCTCATTTACTAAGATTCTAAAGAGATTTTTCGGTCAAGTCCCTAGCCAGCCCCCCAACGGTTTTTGCTTTGACGCATCCATTCCCCAATGCTTGGTTTTCTTGACCAGGTCCCAAACGTTTTATTGAACCACTTGAAGACTCGGGAAACAACTGTCTCCTTCAGCTGACATTCACACGTCTCCACGGCATAAGGCGAGGGATGGCATATGTGCTTATCAGGGAATCAATCTTTCTGCCTATCATCCTCTTTTTCTTCAGGAGAAAGCAAGTTAGTGCAATTACCTCATCCAGAACAATTACCTCACATTAAACTGTTTATTCTCCAGAGAAAGGTGTTTGGGAGCAGGTAGCACTTTGGCAAGAGAGATGGATTTTTTAAAAGTACTTGTATCGATATTGAGCATGAGCAGTGGGGAACTGTTGGGAAGGTTGTCTCTCTTTCAAAAGCAAGATGTCATTTTCTACTAGGATCAGCTAGGCAAGAGAGGACGTATATTTGGTCCAGCTGAGTTCTGACACTATTTTGGGGACCCAGTCTTGGGAGAGATAATGTGATCATCTGACTACAGAGCATAGGACTCAAAGCCAAAACCAGGGTGTATTCTTGGCTCTGAAATTGTGGGGCCTTGGACAATCAATCTCTTGTTTCTCCTTCTGCAGAGGGAAGAATAAGAGGCAACTGTAAGGTATTTTCAAAAGCACTTGAATTTAGATTTTACAGTCTATTAGAAGCAAACCATAGTTTTAAAAAGTTTTCTTTGCTCTTGTTACAAAGGCACAAACACCCAGCACATCTCTCCTCTCCCTGATACTTATTAAAACAAAAACAAAAAACAAACCCATTGCCGTCGAGTCAATTCTAACTTAACAGCAGCCCTGTAGGATAGAGTAAAACTGCCCGGAAGGGTTTCCAAGGAGCCACTCGTGGATTCTAACTGCTGACCTTTCCATTAGCAGCCTTAGCTCGCTGTAGCTCTTAACCACTGCGTCACCAGGGCTCCCTGATACTTATAGGAAAGGCAATTCTCAGGGCCCAGATTCAAACGAACAAAAATAGAAGCTATCAGAAATGAAGCAACTATGGTTGCACAGTGGTTAAGGGCTGGCCTGCTAACCGAGAGGTTGGTGGTTGGAACCCACCAGACTCCCCGACGGAGAAAGATGTGGCAGTGTACTTAAGCAAAGATTACAGCCTTGGAAACCATATGGGGGCAGTTCTGTTCTGTCCTATAGGGTCACTATGAGTTGGGATCAAGTCGACGGCAACGGATATCAGAAATGAGTGAACTTCCTGAAAAATTTGGGGATTCCGGAGTGATTAGGACAACAGAAGAGAAATTGGAAAATAAAATAATTAAAATAAAAATCGATCACATACACCTTACTGCACCCAATATTGTAATTCCACCACTTCTTTATTTATATGCATACATATTTAGCATAGTTGCAATACTGAATTTGTTACAGTGGTTTTTTTTTGCTACTTGGCTGTTTTTCTTTTGTCATTTATTCAGGAGTGATTTCTGAGCTGATGCTGAAAAGAGGAAGGAGTCAGGACTTTGAAAGAACAAAACTGAGCAGGTTCCTGGAAGCAGCGTACTCCATTAGGCTGCCAAGATAGCCACGTCTTTCTGCGCTGCTTTCAACTTCCAGGGGGCTGCGGACTTTGCTCACACACATCCCCAGGCGTGTACTAGCCTCCCCTAGCCCGGCTCCCGGCCTCCCTTCCTTTCTCCCGGAGAGGGGGCCACTTGCGGAGCGTGGGGAAACCTGGGGGCACGTGAAGACACCGCCAGGCTCACCTGCACCTCCCCCCTGCCCACCCTGCGCGCCCCGCCGCCACCGCCCTTCCCT